TTAAACATTTCAGGGACTTGTATCGTCTCCGTCCCCATGACGTAAGAAAGGCGGGAAAACTCACAGCAGCGGCGGCGTGTGAGTTGATCTGCCCCCTGCTGGTCAGACTGCAGTACTGCAGCTCGGATTCCTGAGCAGGCCAGTCGAATGTGGGCTGTTTATCTGAAAAACATGAAAATATCTGAACATGAAAACATCTGAACATGAAAACATCTGAACAACATGAAAACATCTGAAAAACATGAAAACATCTGAAAAACATGAAAACATCTGAAAAACATGAAAACATCTGAACAATAACATGAACATATTTTGTAAAAAAAAAAAAAAAAAAAAACGCCTCATTTCCTGCTATTCATGTTAAATTTATTTTTACTCACCATAGTTCGGTTCTGCAACATTTCCACTCAGTCCACTCATAAACAGCATCTCCTAAAATAAGATCAATAATTAAAAAATCAGTTAACTGCATTAGGTACACTTCATTTTATTATTTTTAAATGTACTTATTGTTTTAAATGTAAATGTTTAATTTCCTACACTTTTACATTAGTTAATTATTGGAACCATAGTCCTTTCTCATTTATTCATTATTAAAATTGTTTTCCTGATTATTTCAATTCGTTTTTTCTCAGTTGGGGTGTGACTGCATGCACACTTATTTATTTTTTGTCACATCTTCACATTTTAGATCCTCAAACTAATTAAGATTTTCTGAACAAAGATAAAATCCTGTTAATTGATGATTTTATAATTATTTATTGTTCTAACGCCTGAATAAAACACTGACGTCTCTTCTGAGGGCTGATGATGAGGATTTTCTTCCTGTGATGAATTAACTCATAAACTGCTTTTTTATGGATTTACTTTGTCTGATGACCTGAAACCTTTTACAGAAAATCCAACAAGATTAATAATATCAAAACTAAAATCTTTAAAACTCACATCTTTACCTTAGCTAAAATTAAACAATAAGATGCTCTTTGTAAAGTTTCTTTTCTTTAAAAAAGTCAAAAGTTTCAGTCTAGGTTATTCATTTAATAGTAAATAATAATAAAGGAAACTTACTTCTGCAGTGAGAATCTGCTCCATCCTGCAGAAGGAGGTGAAACAAACGGATAAACTCGGTTCGGTGCGACCAGCGGAGTCTGCCGGACCATCAGACACAGAAACGCTCAGCATGTTTTAAAGCTTCGCGCCGACTGCCAGGATCTGCCTCTGGTCCTTCAGACGGCCAAAAACCATCACATCACATTACGCTGACGGCACAAATATTCACTGCAGCATCAAAACACTCAAGTGTTTCTATTCAGGAGGTTTGGTTCAAGTTTTTATTTAAATCCAGAACATTCCTGGATGAAGCTGCTATTATTATCTGCTGGTTTTTAATCAGGTGAACTTCCTGTTGTTGGGCCGAAGCAAAAGCTGCTTCTCTGAAATCATCGTTGCTGTTTTTACATCTTATTGTTGCATTAAACACCAAACATGCAGCTTTCAGCTTCTAGGCACCACAGATCTGGAACAAACATCCAGAAAACTGCAGCACAACCGAAACACTGAGTTCCTTTAAATCTAGACTAAAACCCGCCTGGTTAGAGATTAAAAATAAAACATTAATCAACAGTTTGATGTGATGCAACATGTGAAGCTTCGGTTTATTTTTGTGTTTTTATCTTTGACACGTCTTGATGCTGAAACGTGACATACAGATAAACTTGGCTTGGACAAAATGTTAAATTTGAGCTGAAACATTAATATCATCACCTTCCTGAAATAATGACCTGCATTATTTTTTTTTTACCTCAAACATCTTTAAGGAAAAAACGACTTGGGCCATAATCTTAGAAGCCTAAATAAAGAAGCCGAAGTTCTTGAAATGTTGGTTTTTCTTCGTACCAACTCTGAGCCGTTTCCATCCGAAGCTTTCCTTGCAGATCTCTTCTACCTCGTGGCACTCTGACCTCTGACCCCGCCCCTCCTCTTCCCCCAGGAGGGTCACAGGTCGTGTCAGGGTTGAGTTGCCCTGTGGATTTGCCGCGGCGGCTGTCAGAAACGTTTTACTGCAAAGCCTCAAACCAAATCAGAGCTAATACACATCAGCTGGACAGAAACAATCTGGGCAACTTTAACAGTCTCCACGGCAACACTTCCTCTTCCTGCTGCTTCCCACAACAAAACACTTATTCTGTCCAAAAGAATCAGGCCAGAATACGAGTTTACATAAATGATCACATAAAGTATCATTTTTAACTCAAATATGATCATAACTGTGAAAGTTTCATATTATTATGCTCTGATCGTTTGGTGTGAAAGACCTGATACGAGCCTGGAGGTTGGAACAAACTTCTCCAAACGGTAACAATCAGAAACTTATACTATCTTAGCAACGTCTGCTAGGAAATCATTTATTATATTAACTGTTTAGTTGTATTTTGTAGTAGAAGATGTTTCTATTTTATCCATTTTAAAAATGGAAAAGCAACTTTTCTGAAATGTTTTACTCAACGCTGCAGTTGCTCACATCCTGTCGATTTGAATCGAGCAGAATTACATTTCTGTAGGTTTCATCAACTCAAGTTGAGACGTTTTTCAACCGTTATGACAGGATTTTAAGACTTTATGTCCTCAGAAATGTACAAACTTCATTCAGCCAACTGGAGACAAATTTACAACTCAGCCATTATAGATGCAAAGAAGCTGCTAGCAAACGTTGATCCACTAGTCGTGTGGCTCTAAATCCACTCAAGTCAAGGATTTTAACTGGGAAATGTTGCAGCATGTTTAAATCTGCAGTAACTTTTATTAAAAAAAATGCTTTTTATATATAGTTATTAAATCTGTCTCCATGTTGTGACAGTTTAATATAAGACAGATAATCTGTGAACAGACCGATTTCCTCCTCTGAGCTGCTAGCAGTCTGAAGAAATGCGCCGCTCTCAGTCAAATACAACCAATCAGAGCCAGGAGGAGAGCCTTAGCGCTGTCAATCAACCTCATGTATGTACTTCCAACTGTGCTAAAGACAGAGAAGCAACTTACTGTTCCAGAAAAACAGTTTATCAGCCGTCGTTGGTGGTTATGCTAACTGGCCTTAGCATTAGTTACAGACTATGTTGTGGTGAACTAGCTGTAGCACAGCAAAGATCAAGGGAGAGGGAGAGTGATTGACAGCACTAAAGCCCTCCTCCAGGCTCTGATTGGTTGACTCTGACTCAGTGGTGCATTTCTGCAGTTAGTACTGGGAGAACTGGGAGAAGGCAGCTCAGGTTTTTCACACATTATCTGCCTTATATTATAACGTCACAACATAACTTTAGCAAACATATAAAAAACTTCTTTTTTTTTAAATTAAAATTTACATATTAATTACTGCAGCTTAAACAAACTCCAATCTGTTGGAGCCAGAATGGGAACAATCAAAGCCCGCCATGAAAACACCCACAGGGCCGGAAGTGTCACCTCAGATCTGCAGCTGGTCGTCTCTTCTTCTACGGTCCTCTGCAGCAGCTGGATGAGGATAAACACGGTAGATTCCCCTCAGACTTTCTTATTCTTTAATAATTATGTCTAGTTATTATTAACTAGACATGAATAATCAACAGCAGAGCAGCTGGGAGAGGAAACGGCAGCTCACCTGCAGCTGATGATGGACCTCCGTCCTCCCAGGTGAGGCGGGATGGCGCCATCTGCTGGCGGTTCCTATTACTGCACCAGGAAATTTGGGCTTTTGGTTTTTATTTTTAAGGCAAAAATTAAAAGAGATTTAAAAAAAGACATTTATAATTTTAGCAGAGAGAATCTATGTAAATATTTGTGAAAGGCGATGTTATGGTAACGCTGACAGTCTGTCAAAGTATTCATATCCCTGCAGATCTTTTAGTTTTACCAACATGTTTCTTCGTTTTTAATCCATGTCTGGCAGGGTGGGACACAGAATCGCTGTCTGAGTGTCAAGATTTAGATTTACTGTCACAAGTGGAGCGTTACGGCTTTCGCTTTGATGCTCCTCTTATAAATGAAACGTCATTAAAAATAGCTTTTATTTCAAACACAACGGATAAGGAGACGGAAAAGAGAGAAAGATTGTTCTTGGAAGTCTGCTTCTGCATCTGCAGAAAGAGAGAAAAAAACAAAAAGACAGAACCGTGAAGCCAAGAAACAACATATAAAATAACTGAAGAGAAAACGGTATAATTTATAAACACGATGTGTTTAGTGGCAACCGCAGCCCAACATGGAGTTTATGTGGAAAAAAATTCAACCAAACAATGTTTGTAAGAGCGAACAATGGCTCGTTGGGCGCCGCCATGTTGAAATCCGACTTTATTAACTGGAACGCTGACGTCAAACCCAGCTCAGAATTCAGAAAAATACTAAAAAACTCTTAACTATAATCACCAAATATCGTCTCTGCTGCCCGGATATTCAGCTGTTAGCTTGTCATTACTGCAGGTCTCAAGTCAGAGGCTTCTTCAGGTTAGTTGCTACACTGACTGCTAATGGAGATCCTTCCATTGGCATCACCAGATTTAAAAGATAAATAAAAGCAACGTAAAAATTCGAGAAGCTTAGTGTTTTATTGAAACTGGTCGATACAAAAACAGGACAGAACTGAACATCAGATCCGGTTTTCACCGTTTACACAGAAGCAACAGAAAGACAAAAACACCAGGAGAAAATCAGTCAGTTTCCCTAAAAATGTCACCGTATGACCTCTGTCCAGAGACCAGGGCTGCTGGTCCAGGTCAGTTTGTTTTCCAGCTTTTACACACAGAACAGTTTACAACAGAAGATTATTGATAATTGATTCTTTATCGGTAAATTAAATTTATTTTCTTTACAGTGAAAAGCTTAAAACAAAATGAAATAATTATTTCTCAGAAAATCTGATAGAATAAATCCGTTTTCGTTCCATTTCCATTTGTTCCAAGAAATAATTCCTGACAGAAGACTGAATTTAAACCATCGGATGTCAAACTGGCTAAATCTTTTCTTTAATTACCGTTTTTATTATTTCTGCTGTTGGATTCCATCGTTTTCTTTTTCTTCTGATGTGATTTTTATTGTTTGTAAACCAACAAAAATCAACCAATCAAAACACAAAACGTGGTGGGAAGGGATTGAAATTGGTCTGAGTTAGCATTTAGCATTAGATTTGCTGTTAGCTAAATGGCTAATTTAGCAGAGGAGACGTCACACTGGGTGACAGAAGAGTAGTTGTTCAGCAGTAAAACAGGAGTTTAATATTTCAAAAGTAAAAGTTATATTTTTAACAAATTAGCCTTTAGCATAACTAGCGCAGTTAGCATTAGTGACTAAATGGAGATTTGTTTTCCGTAAGGCTGCCAACATTTCTGAATGTATTTTTATAGATTGAAATGAATCTTGCTTTACCCTGCTCAGCCTTCTTGTTATCTGCTGACGTTATACTCTCTGTAATAGCCGTCATCTCTTCCCCATAATTTCCACACCAAAGACTGTTGATGCTAGCATATATTAGCCACTTTAAGCTACAAGAATCTCCTGAATCTGACGAGAAACCATTTTGTTGTTGTCCTCAAAAAGAATGATACAAAATCATACAGTTGGAATGTTTTCTGTTTCTTTTGTCAACACAAAATGTTCACAGCAGAACTAAAGCAATAGAAAACCAGACTAAAGATTATCGTTGTAGTTTTTGATGTTTAAATCTGTTTCTTCTTTTCTAATGATGCTGTTTGGATTTTAGCCTGTTCAAGTTGAACCACAACCTTTAACCCAATGTTTTCTTTGCAATGCTAACCAGATGATAGCAAAAAGCAGTTTCAACAAATTTAAGAAATCAATTATGTAGATTAAGATGCTACAATGCTTGTTTTCTAGAGATTCAGGACACAGTATTGGCTACAAACTAAGCTAGCAAAGATAAAAGCCTTACAGTCCTTTCGTTGGGTTTCCCCTCCAACAACTTCCACTCCAAAGAGTGTTGATGCTATTGCAAATTAGCCACTTTAAGCTAATAAAGAAAAAAAAACAGATTCTGATAGGAAACCATTTTTATTGCCCTTCATGAACCCTGACGACATTTTGCTGTGAGTTAAACCGTTAAGCTCAGTAAATGTGATAGAAAATAAAACGTTGGAATGTTTTCTGCTTCTTGTCAACAAAAAAGTTACAGTCAGTTAAACGAAAACCAGAAAAAATATTATTATTGTGGTTTTTGATATTTAAATTGGATACTTCTTTTCTCATGAGGTTTCCATTTTGGCCCGACCACGACCTTTGACCCAGCCCCTTCTGCAACGCTAACCAGATAATGG